ATTTTTTGTCCGATTCATCGATTAATCGAAAAAATAATCATCAATTTTTAAAATAACCGTTAGTTGCAGCCCTAGTTCAATCCTAGACCAGAACCAGAACCGTCTGAGCTGAGCTCAGGTTCAGCAGTGAAACATCTTTTCTCTTCTGTTCACCAACATCATCCAAAGCTGTAGACACTGGCGCCCGGCGGTGCGTTCAGGAAAGTTGGTTTTTACGGTTTTCTGTGTGCTTCTCCACAGGCCGCCGCCCAGACGGGCTGCTCCATCATGTGACCTGGCCAGCCGCCGCCGCTAAGCCCCGCCCCTCTGCTGCCAGCCTTCAGAGTGATATTTTTCTAGATTTTGTAGTTTCAGCTGAATGTTTTTGGAGTTTTTCTGTTTTTTTTTGAGAACCAAATGAAGTAGGATGTTGGGAGTCTTCAGACCAAGTAGCCGAGCTGATGATGAGAAGGATGTCGTCTTTTTTAAGCCCGTTATTTTTAAGCTTTCTGTGATTGTAGGGTTTTAAAGAGGACCGTTTTTTATTGCCTCCATCACTATAGTGAGCCCAGTGATGGAGGCTGAAGGATCAAGACACTAAGTGATTTCTGCTTTATTCACCATGTCTGCAGTGTTGATTGTATTCATTTCTAATACTTTTTGTTTCCATTATGATGCATGCTTTCTATAACCAGAGTTCAGTTAAAGCTTTTTCTGTTCTTGCTAATAAATGGCGCTCTGCAGCGAACCGTTTGCCTCCATAATCTGAACTTCTTTCCTTTCTTTGCTCCACTGACTTTATTTTAGCTTCTGGATATTTTAACTTTTGTGTGACTGCATGCTCCCATCTGTCCTCATTGTCAATAAAACGATCAAATAAAAGGAAATATTGCCTCAGTTTCTCTTTTTAACGATGTTTAAATGGAGAATAACCATGAAAACCGTCATTTAGGAAGAACATTAAAACATTTACTGTATAAAAATATATCATTTAATTCATAATACTTCTGATACTTCAAACAGTCATGCTTTTCAGGAGGGAGGTTTTAATCGGTTTTATTATCTTCAGTTTGTCCAGGACGGCTGAGGGGAGGGGCGTCTTTACTTTATGGAAATGATGGCATATTGAATGAAATTAAGTAGGTTTTGGCCTAATTTAGTTTAAAATGAAACCAAAGAGAACCTTTATTGACATCCTGTCACAGAACAGTTCCTGTTAATGAAACTAAAGTTCTTTCGAAGCCACTTGGTAAAGTTTGAACGTCAGCAGACCTGATTTGAAGAAGAACCAGGAACCAACCTGCTGCTTCCTCCTTTCACCAAGATTAGCCTCTAAATGTTCAATTCAACCAGTTTTCTTTTTGTTCATTTTTATAAACTTTATAGCAAAAAGAAAAGGATTCATTTGAAGTTCCTGAAAGAATTGAGCAAACTGCAGTGACTAAAGGTGTCCAGAGGGGGGCGATGGAGATCCGGGGGCCACAGGTCTGCCTCCAGCTGATAACAGTCTGTTTGCCTGCATGAGCAGATAAAGTTTAATCTGCATTAATTATGAAGGAGCGTTATTATTCAGATGAGTAAACATCTGGTTCATTAAAGCAGCAAAGTTTCTGAATCAGAGAAATTCTTAGTTTGATTCATTGTTTCTGTTTGATGGAGGATTTTCCACTGCAGGTTTCAGAAGTTTTATTTTCAGCACATTGAGATTCTACTGAAGATTCATTGAGAATCTTTCATTTATTCACAAACTGAAGCATCTTTTCTCCTGAGCTGGAAAAAACATTTTAACTCTTGGCTGCTGCTGGTCATCTCCATAAAGTTCATTAGCACAGAGATACATGACATAGATGAGACAGTGGTCTGCTTTATGGCACGGCTGCTATGGTTACCTGTCACTATGACGACAGAAGCAGAGTTCATAGTGTTAAAATGAGGAAGTTATGTCCTAAAAAGCCATGCGCCTCAGGGGCTCCTCACGGTCCTTTTCCTGGGAGCAAGTTATTTACTGCTCTTACCTCAAACTGGGTAAAACATATAAAACAGGAGTAAAAAATAACAGAGTTTATTCCAGATCAGGTCGTTACAGGACAGAGAAAATGCTTGGAGTTTGCACAGCTGTGGGCTCAAAAATCCCGTCCGCAAGCGTCCGGCAAAGATTGAGCCTCGAACAAGGTCATCTTCTCCTTCTTATACCTTATGAGTCTATGTGTTGCATCATGTGGATGCTTAGCTGTCTGTATCAGAAACTGTCTCAGGGTCACAGATACAGCAGCTCTCCTATCAGACCGGCTCCTAGATGTTCCCATATCCTGTGTATTCCTAAAGACATGAAGGCTGTCCTGATTAGATGACCTCCGTACACACAGTGACATCCACCATGTGAAGGAAGGCCTTCTGCTCTGTCTGAACTGGCTAACAGAGTAACAATGCACATGATGTATAAATAATAAACCTAACATTAGATTGAACCATTTGCCAAAGAAAGATGGATGCTCTGATGATGGTTATAGAAATATAAAACAACTTTAATGATGTTTGCTTCATTCTGCTGTGAAGCTGCAGCTTTCTGCTCCTGGTTCCTCATTTGCTTTCTGAGACATTTTTACAGCAAATTAAAAAGCCTTTCTGAGCCAAACCCCGCCCATCAGAACCAACCAATCACAGCCCTCTGTAGTGAGGAAGCAGCCAATGAGGAAACAGTCGCTGCTCTATGTGAATGGGTTTGTGTAACGGGGGCGGGGCGTAGTGAGAAAGCCCCTCCCAATCAACAACAAGCGTCACATGACTTCACTTCCTGAGTGGGTCAAGCCCACGGTCTGAGTGGCTCTAAAGGAAACCGAAGCGCGTCCCTTCAAAATAAAACTGATGGAATATAAACAGGATCAGAACCTTCTAGTAGAACTTTGAAGCAGAACCTTCCAGCAGATGGACCTGCTGCAGGAGGAACTGGGTCATGGTCTCACTGGTTTGTCTGCTTCTCCTCTGGCTGAGGGGTAGAAGGTTCTGGTTCTGAGGAGTCCGGCGCCAGGGGAACTTTATTCTGAAAGGACTCTGACTCATTTCCGGTCCAGTACTGCCTCACCTGACGGCTCCTTACGTCACCCAGGGAGCGTGTTTATGAAACGGACAGTGACGGGTGGCGGCAGTCAGCCGCAGACATGGACTGGTCCCGGTTCTGGTTCTGGTCCTGGTCCTGGTTCTGGTCCCTGGCAGCAGGCCTCCTGGTCGCTCATGTTCTCCAGAGGTTCTGCTTCCCGTTCTTCTGGAAGGATCTGCTCTTCCTCTCTAAGGTGATCCGGTACGGCGCGAGGCTGGAGCTCTTCAAGCTGACGGCCCGGGTCCAGACGGTTCTGGACCGGTTCGTGGATCAGGCGCAGCGGATCCCCGATAAGCCGTTCATCATCTGTGAAGGCTCGGTCCACAGCTACCGGGACGTGGACCTGCGCAGCAACAGGCTGGCCAACGCGTTCCTGCAGCAGCAGCGGGGCCCCCAGAGGGGCTCCTGCGTGGCGCTGTTCATGAGCAACGAAGCGGACTTTGTGAGCGCCTGGTTCGGCTTGGCTAAGCTCGGATGCTCGGTGGCTTTCCTCAACATCAACATCAGGTCCAAGAAGTCTCTGCTGCACTGCTTCGACTGCTGCGGGGCCCGAACTCTGCTCATCGGCTCAGGTAGGGCCCCTTCCTCACCTCCATCATCATCATCATCAGGTTGATCTAAAACCAAACTTTATTCTAAAACTCTTTACTGTCGCCGACTCGTCGCGCATGCGCAGTGTGAGTCAGGAGCCCTGACAGGCGCGGCTGGTTTTTCCTCCCAGTCCAGTTTGGATCGGTACCAGCGCGCGCTGCGGGGAGCCTCCATGCCTGCCACTGAAAAGGTCCTGTTGGTTCAGCAGAACCGCTGCCCCACCTGCTGACCACCACCACTGACACTGGCTGAGATCTGTCATCTTAGATCTGTTCTTTTAGATCTATGATCTTAGATCTGTCCTGTTCAATTCTATTCAGTTTATTTCTATAGCACCAATTCACATCCTGTCATCTCAGGTCACTTTCCAGT